CGTAACAATCCCTGTGGCCGCGGGGCTGCGGGCTCGCCTTCCTACCAGCGCGGCCCCCCGTCCATCGCCTCCCGGAGGCCCCGCGCCGGGACCCGTTCGGCCCCCCGCCCCGCTCTCCTTTTCCAGGTCGGGAACATGCAGCCCGAGGGCGCAGAGAGATGAGGGCGGGCCGCGGGCAGGGGCTGCGACCAGGCGTCTTCCCTCCTCTCGTCTCAGCCCGGGGTCGCCCGAGCCCTGTCCAAGGGAAGGGAGCCAGGACTCGCGGGGTAAGGTTGCTTAGGGGTTTTGTGGGTGCACCCGTTCTTACCCCACCAGATACGTGTTTAACACGGCCCCCCTCCCCGTTCTGTGCTATGATTTCCCCTCCGGGGATTCGGTAAAAGGCTAAACTTGTACCGTCTGGTAGATAACGGAGCGGTATCTGGGGAAAAAGAGGGTGGGAGGAGGATGCTTAAAGAAGTGAAAAGACAATTGCCAAAACCGACTTGAGAAAGCTCTGAGATGCAGAGAGGACTCGTGTCCATTAGTTCCAAGTGCGTTTGCAAGATACAAGAAGCATTATTCGAAAATAGGAATATATGTATGTTGTTTCATTGGGTGCGGTGAGCTCCTCTTCAAGGTCTCAAGTGTGGGCGTCTGGGGCTGCACAGCTGTCAGCCAGCAGCTGGTTCCAGGCCTGAAGGAGCTGCACTTCAGCAGGCTGGGAGCCTTGGCCTTGACCCCAGGGAGGTTAAGTGCTTTGGAATTCTACCAGATCCAGTGAAAAGCCCCCTTTTCAATGTGTTGTAGTACTTTTCCAAGGAGCTATCCTCTGTCAGTAAATGGCAGTACGCTGCTAGAATAGGCAGGTGTCAGTTTTGCCCTTTGAATTTCACAGAAATTACATCCTCTGTGCTAGAGATGGCATATGGTAGTCAGTTTAGTATGCTGCCATAAAAGATGGGCTGAACATGGAAAACATTCACCCATCAAGAAAAATCACCTACTTCTACTTTTTTGTACAATGACAACAAGATGACTGATAAACTAATGACAAATATGCAAGTAAATGTTTAAAAGTCAACATTATCACCAAAAATGCTGAAGTTAACAGCAATTTACCAAATCCCAGAAATTATGGTTTAAATGGGATATTATTTCCTTAAATAGGAAAATGTATAGTGCTTTAAAAAAGCTTATTTTATTCTCAGGCTGTTTCATCAGTGTTTAATATAATAGCCTCATAAAAATCAGTATACCAGCATGATTAAATAGTAATATCATAGTGTATAATTAATCATTTATCTTGTGATGACATAGAAATATCATAATGTATAATTAATCATTTATTTTGTGATTATATTGTAGTGTCCTCCACTCTGCTATCAGCTATAAGCTTTCTGAGAGCAGGCATGGACCATGTCTGTTCTGCTCATGGGTGTATGTCCAGAGCCAACACATGCCAGCGCTTAGGGAGTGGGGAGGAATTTGGAGAGGAAGGTAATGACTCAGGTATGGGTGTGTTGAGTTTGAGGTGTCTTCATTCCAGTGCAGACAATTTCAAGGCCGATTTTCCATTTCACTGTTTCTTTGCTTGGCATACTTACTCTACACATTAAAAAATGGAGTCCTCCGGCTCCTTTCAATTAGTAGAGCATCATTTATACCTATCTTATTTGCCTAGGGTGAGGGCTATGGGCATGGTAATGGTGTGGTTGAAGTGGCCTTCATTGTGGCATTATTGAAGACACACACTCCTCTCCCCTTTTTCAGCACTTCTCTCTTCTCCACAGCTTTAAATGAGACTTGATTTTCCCCAGTCTCTGGAATAACTGCCCCATTTACCGCAGCCTAAAAATAGACCAGGACCTGGTCCAATGCCAGCCCAATTCCAGGATTTTGCTGGAAACTTCCTTAACTTTCACTGACCAGCCAGGACAGATATGTAGACAACTCAGTCTGTCTATATCCTACAGCTACTCTGGACCGTTTTCTGTAAGGATAGTACATAAAACCGCTCTCTCCTTATTCCCATAATTAGGTTGCCAGATAAAACACAGGCTGCCCAATTCAATTTGAATCTCAAATGAACAGTGAATGATTACTTCAATAATTACTATTTGCTAAATCTGGCAACCCTACCTATAACATAACCCAACTTTAGAAGATCAAGTCCCATAGTATCTATTTGCTTTTATTAAGAATTTAACATACTCCCTTGGGTCATTTATTGCAAACTAATAATGTTGTACATAACTATATAACACGAACATTTAATCAACTTCAGTGACCACATGAGGATGGCCTTTTTGATAAAGGCATTTATAGTGAAAAGGGCAGTGTACTTAGCAAGTGGAATTGGACACGTGAGTAATCTTTCCAGTGTGTAGAATGTGTGGAGGAAGAGAGAGAAAAGTGAAAAATTCCTATTTTTCTTACTGAGGCCAAGAAACTCCTGTATAATAACATTCATACTCAGGAAGCCCTGAAACACTGTTTTATAAATTCATCATGGAAAAATCAAGATACTGAAATTACTTAACCCTTACTTAATCGCTCCACCAAGGATTGAATACTGATCAAATGTAGAGTTCCCAGAATTCATCTACTCTTTGACTTCTATTTTGCTTGGCCCTGATATCACTGGTAAAAGCATAAAGAATCTTTAAAAATTGACTGAATGCTAAGGAAAAGTTCAAACATTAGAAATTGTTTGTTTAAAAAAAACTAAGAAAATATTCAAACATTCAAATACTCTCAAACATTTACTAGATGTTAATATATTAAGAGCTACATATGGATTCCTACATGCTCAGAAATTTTTCACTTAAAAATATTTTCAACTTTTGCTCCGGCTGGTTTTGCTCAGTAGTTAGAGTGTCAGCCTGCGGATCAAAGAGTGACAGGTTTAATATTTGAGGTGCATGCAGGAGGCAACCAATGAATGTTTCTCTCAAGTCTTCCTCTTATCCCTTCTACTCTTCTGTACATCAGTGGAAAAAATGTCCTCAGGTGAGGATTAAAAAAAAATAATAAAAATATTTTCAACTTTAAAATAAACTGCTACTCATACATGACATTAATTCAGACAAATGATACATATTATATATATAGTTTAATTGTAATGTCATTTAAATTTTAAAGGATTCGTTATTCATTGGTCATTTCAAATAGCAGTCTAAATTTGGGGGGAGGGAAGAAACTGATCTATTTAAATATGTTTTTATTGATTTTACAGAGAGGGGAAAGGAGAGAGATAGAAACATCAATGAGAGAAAAACAATCAGCTGCCTCCTGCACGCCCCCTACTGGGGATTGAGCCGGAAACCTGGGAATGTGCCCTGACCTGAATCAAACTGTGACCTCGTGGTTCATAGTTTGATGCTCAACCACTGAGCCTCCCCAACTGGGCAAAACTGATCTATTTAAATACAAATTTCTCCAAAAAGATCTATAGGACCTACATCCTTTCATTTTTTAAATAAGAACTTTACTAGATATAATAGACATGCCATAAAATTCATCCTTTTAAACCTAATTTTACTTGGTTTATTGAATCAGATTCTAATATCTGTTGCCCTTTGATTTCAATCCCTTCAATTTGATAAGCATTACCAAGTACCAATTATGGCCCAGGAGCAGGGACAATGAAGACCACGGCTTTGCGTATGTGCCAGCAAAGCCGTGGAGGCCATTTACCCGATGTGTTATTCCATACATAACCCAATACTGTATACTTTATGACTCAATAAAAAATTCACAATTTTTAATTATAAACCTGTGTTTTTCTATCAAAATTACTTCTTGCATGAATTTTGGGACACCGTTTACAAAATTCAGTGGCTTAGTATATTCACAAAGTGGTCCAACCATTACCACTATCTAATTCTGGAACACTTTCATCAGCCCAAAGAGAAACCCCATTCACATTAGCAGTCACTCCCCATTCCTCCCTCCCTTTAGCCGCTGGCAACAATTTAGGTATTTATTGTCTCAATAGATTTTCCTATTCTGGATATTTCATATAAGTGGAATCATGGCAATATGTGGCCTTGTGTCTGGCTTTCTTTATTCAGCATGTTTTCAAGGTTCTTCCTTGTACCATGTATCAGTACTCCATTTTTTTCTAAACCAAATTATATTCCATTTTATAGGTATGGACATTTGAGCTGTTTCCACTTTTTGGCTATTGTGAATGCTGCTGCTATTAACAATGTGTTTCAGTTTTTGTTTGGACATGTTTTCATATTTCAAGTCTATACCTACTATCACTGTGATAAGCCTGTTTAACTTCGTGAGGAACTTCCAAGCTGTTTTTCCAAAGTAGCTGACGATTTTATATTTCCATCAACAATATGAGGGTTCCAATTTTTCCATTTCTTTGCCAATGCCTGTCATTGTCCATCTTTTTCTTATAACCATACAAGTGTGTGTATGGTTTCTCATTATGGTTTTGATTTGCAATTCCCTGATGGCTATTGATGTGAAGCATCTTTTCACGTCCTTATTGGCCATTTGCATATCTTCTTTGGAGAAATATCCAGATCCATTCATCCCAAGGTGTTTTCTAATTTCCCTTGTGAATTCTTCCATGACCAATTGGTTATTTAAGAGTGTATTGCCCTAGCCAGTTTGGCTCAGTGGATAGAGTGTCGGCCCTCAGACTGAAGGGTCCTGGGTTCGATTCTGGTCAAGGGCACATACCTCAGTTGCAGGCTCAGTCCCCAGCCCTGGTCCGGGCATGTGCAGAAAGGCAACCAATCGATGTGTCTCAGATCAGTGTGTTTCTCTCTCTCTCTGCCTCCCCCCACCTCTTCCACTATAAAAAAAAACAAAGAAGAACCTCCAGCTCTAAGCGGTTTGTCTCAGTGGACAGAGCGTCCGCTCTCGGGCTGCAGGGTCGCCAGCACGATCCCCGGCCCCAGGTGGGGCAGGTGCGGGAGGCGGCCGATGGACGTGTCTCTCTCGGGTGCCTGTTTCGCTCCGTCTTTCCCCCTCCCTTCCGCTCTCTCTAAAAATCAATGAAAAAATATCAGGTGAGGATTAGCAACAACAACAACAACAAAAAAGAAAGGAAGAGACAGTGGATGGCTCTAGATTAGAGATTTGAGACCTAACAAATTAATATTAAATGGCTATTATTGAAAAGAAGAAATTTGAATATGAACTGAATACTATTAGATGGCATTAAAAGTGTTATTAATCTTGTGAGGTGTGATTATAGCTGCATAACACTGTGATTTTGTTCATATTTTTAAGAGAGTCATGCAGCAGTATTAAAAAAAAT